TAAATCTTATAATTTTTTTTGAAATAAAGAAGAAGAAGAATTTTAATTGTATTTTTTTAGGAGTTGTGATACTCATATCTTCTAAAGTTGTAATAAGTATGATCTTCTCCTTAATTAATATATTTCAGTTATATCCTTTAGTTAGACACATTCCTTAATTAATAAGCCCTCCGTCCTATTTTATGTGATACCCTTTATTTTATAGTCCGTTTCAAAAAGAATGTCACCTTACTATAATTAGAAATAATTTAATTTTAATTTTTTTTATCCTTAATGAAATGATTTACAACCACACAAATATCTAAGGATTTTTTAAAACCACAAATTTAAAAAATCTTTCTTTTTTTCTTAAACTTCATGTCAAGTCAAACGGTACCGTATAAAATGGGACAGAGGGTGTAGCTTTCAGATATATCCATTAATTAAACACATTAGTTGATATGTATTTGTCTTATATGTATCTGAAAGAACGTAATATTTTAAACTAGCACAAATCTGAATAATTAGCTCTTAAAATAATAAAATTTGTATAAGTTACCCTCATACTATTTACATGATAAGGCCAAAATTAGAAATAGTATTGTATTATTTTCTGGACTGAAAAGATACCGTTGGCCCATAGATAGATTGATTGTCGTAACGTGGCCCATATCACCTTTTTAGAAGTCAATTCCCTAAATGGTCACTCAAGTTTAGGAAATTTCCTTGAAATATCATTTATGTTTCATTTATGACCAAAATATCACTCAACTCTCACTATTTTCCTCCAAATATACTTGACACTTCAAAAGCCCACTCTCTCCTAGTTGACATGACATGTCATTAAAGTCTTTTTTTTAGTAATAGGCTAATTTAATTCATTAAACCATTTAACTAATATAATGATCTTATTATTTTCTAAAAAAAAATATATTAGTTTATTAAGAAGAAATTTTCATACTTAAGAAGTTTTTATCATAATTTTTTTTTTATTTTTTTATGCTATGAAGAATAGCTTTTTGAAACTTACCATAATGTCATCAATTTTGAATAATTATAAACACATATATTCAAAAAA